TGTTCAGTGCATCCACCCGAAGACAAGACAGGAACTCACTAGCAAGTTTTCCAGCCAGAATGCCAGATCCATTTCTTCCGGGAAGGACCGAAGGAGACCGATCTTTATACCATCTCCTACTATGGTCACACGAGAACACCAGACGCCTCACAGCTATCAGCCAGATAAATATTAGTCCTACTCTACAGACACTCGTTATCAACTATTCACTTGACTTTATACCATATATATACAATTCTATACTGTACAACAGCTGCAGAAGTTATCATATAAACCTCATATGCAGCAACTAGATTCCTATGTTGTTCGCTTGCAGAGATCATTTCAACGCAAAATTATTGGCAGCCATATGTCCAATCTCTGCTGGCTGGAGCCGTTTGATGTAATATTTTGATCCGCGTGAGAGATTTATTCGTTTTCGCCTCTTCACTGGGATGGATTCCACTGAGCATTCCTTGAAGCCACGCCGGACAAACCTGTTGAAGTTCAAGTGTAAACACGAGAAAATATCCGGCACTGCATCTTTACGATATGAACATATTTTCACCACCAGAAATAAAATGCACTCTAAAAATATGAGCAGATATAGCAGGTTTTATTGATGCATCAAGGAAGATGGTGAGGTTGACTCTTAATCAAAGGAACTGTTAAGTATTCCATGATTAACCACAGCTGCTCATCAACAATGAATATGATGAAGTTAAAGACCAATTTGACCACAACTAGAACATAATTACATACCAGTCTGCTGTCCGTGTTGTAAGCAAGAATATTTTCTCAAGACCAAGGGATAATGCCTTCTTTTCAACATAATCTGCAGGAGTAGATCAGCCATGATAAGTATTTGATAAACACTAGTCCATTGTAGTGCACAATTAATGCTAGAGAAAGATGAAGTTAATGGTGACAACATATAAGGTGGAGACTCAATTGTGGTGATTTTGTAGTTTCTTGGTTTATACACACACAAAATTAATAGGAAACATTCCCAAGAAATGGAGGTAGTTCTCGGTTAAGCAAAATCTCTCTTCCAAATATCTAGTTCTAATTCATTTCGTGTTGGTAGACTAAGATTACAGTATACATAAAAAAAGTTAACAAGGAGAAGCAAAACAAACAGTATGCCAACGCTCTAGAGTTAATATTACCAGCCTCCATGCTTTCTACTAATGTGCAATTTAAGTATTGAAGTCATAGGCTGCGTTTGGGATCACGGTGGATTCGTATAATCCTGTTCATCCCACTCGCTTTACCCTATTTTAGTGCCTGTTTGACGCGCTTTTGCCTACTTTCATGGCTAATTTTTTACAGCAGATAATAAGTTAAGAAGGCACAGCACGGTTCAGCAACCACAAGATTAGATGTTTGCAACATAGAATTAAACTAATATACACTTTTGTGACAAATAATTGAAAGTAGAGGTTTGCATAGCTTTACTGAGCAGACTAAAGAGGTGGATTTGCAACAGTCTTACCAAGTAACTTGTCTCCTTGACCCTGTCCTCGACATTCTTCAGAGACAGCTATAGCAGCAACTTCCCCCGATTTATCCTCAAAAAAGGGAAAGAGAGCAGCACACGCAATGATTGAACCATCTCTTTCCACAACAATAAATGACTTCAGTGCTTCCAAAAGCTGTTGAAAGATTAAAGAGAATGCTTTGTTCAGTTTCATAAAGAGGCATGTCTTAACTCAGGCTATTAGTGTTTCCACTGCTCAAAGTTCGCATGATAATGAGGTACCTCTTCATCTGTTCTCTGCACTAGGACACCTGATTCTTCTAGGGGACGAAGGATTTTTCTAATACCAGAAAAATCTTCCTCTCTAGCCGTTCTCGTTCCTTCATACATATCTCTGTTAAATGAGTGGAAAACATTATTTCCCTGCACTTTGCTCCTATATATATATATGCAGTAAATATGTCCTATTCCAGATCATAGGCATTCTCAAATAGTGGCGCATATTATCTGCTGTGACATTGATAGCATGCATGCGTTTTGAGCAATTAGCAGAACTTATATAAATCAATAGCTCAACAGGCATATAGGTGCATTGCAAGTACGCAATTGTGGGCTTACACATCAAGACTAACGTTTCATGACAGCTAGGAAAGAGCAAGAGTTTCAATATACCTTGCTATTAGTGTTCCTGCACCATCTCTTGTGAATAATTCTAGCAACAATGACCCCCCAACAGTGCCATCTATGATATGAACTCTTTGGACACCGCCCTGATATGTAAAAATGAGAAGATCCTAATCAGGAAAAAGGAACAACAGCAATGCATCAATAATACAAAAAATACATGAACTGATGTACATCATATACTTTTGCCCCGTGGAAACAGAATATTCCAAGGACCATAGTAGATATGATTCCCGGAGAAACATGGCACAAGTACCACTCGGGTCAATAAACAAGATATATTCAGTAAAAAAAATGTTCTTTGAGAAGTATAGTTGCCTAACATCATGATATGTATAGGACATTTTTTTGGCGAGGAATATGTATAGGACATAATGGTGCACACTGATGGGGGGCAGACCGGTGCACATAGCTCCCGCTTGCGCAGGGTCCGGGGAAGGGTCCGACCACTTTGGGTCTATTGTACGCAGCTTTCCTACATTTCTGCAAGAGGCTGTTTCCAGGAACCCGTGACCTCATGGTTCATACACCAAAAGCAGTTTGGAAGATAAGAGTATCCTATAATATTCAAGTTTGGGTGTTAACAATGTTGGAACCCTAGAAACCATGTAATCTAGTGCAGAAGTGGCAACTTCAGAGCTCACACTTTTATACCTCCTAAATCCAACTCAAGAAAGAAGCAAAAACTTACATGGCATACATATGCTGCTGCAGCCAACTCTGAAAGGTAGCCATTTGATCTGCTCAACCGCTCTGCCCCGCCAATAGCAAACCCTTGCTCACCAGACAGACCATTTCCATTATTGAAACCCACACCATTCCGAAAGGATGCAGTGTAATCACTGATGAAATCTCTTCCAACCCATACTTGCTCTTTCTCCTCTTTGATAGGAAAATTGTGGGCATAACTAATGTCCTCCTCCCCTACAACCTTTACATAATTTGCAGCAGTTTCACTCTGCTTAGCGCGTGTTCTGATGAGCATATCTGCTTCCTCGATAGACATGAAACGATTGACTCGGCCATGCTCATCATATATTTGGCCATCGACAACACAGATAAGCTTGTCCGCCTCGATAGCCAAAGCACATGCTGTCGCAACTTCGTATGTGCTGAAAGTCAGAAAAAGTAACACTAATATCAGATGATGTTGAAGATAAGAATGTTGCATCTGTCTCATCTTGTATTTCATAAAAAAAATTCCTTACGTGAAGTTATGTGAACTGTTTGATAGTGATTTTTAGAAGTGTTACTGCAGAATAAGAAGAAGAAAGCTACAAAGTGAATGGGGTAGACATCATACTTGCAATTTAACACCTCTCCTGAACTGGAGTATCCCATATTGCTCACGACAACTATGCTATCCCTATCAAGTCTTTCTTTTATCCGTGAAACATCTATTTTCTTAACTTCACCAGTGAATCCATAGTCAATGCCACCAACAACTCCTCGTCTCTGCCACAAGAAGAGAGAGGTATTTCAGTTCGCCATTTCAGAACAAGTTCACAAACCCACTCAAACATTATTATCTCAAGACAAGCAAAAGAAAAAAGATGCCACATAGAGGTTCATAATCTTAATTTTAAGCTTTACCTAAGTAGTTCCAAATTCCAAAACTTGACACTCATATAAGTACATAATATTAATACCTCCCGATGGGTCCGGTTAGTTATTTTATGTCTGATCTTATGTACCATCTGATGTGTGACTTGGCGGTTCGGTTAGTTATTAAGTTATGTCTGATCTGATGTACAGTCGATGTGTGCATTGGCATATTATCCCTTTCAACTGCATCTATCATTGGACAGTCATACTTATTTGAAAATAAGCTAACAGCCCCTCGTGTACCACTAGGGGTGCTTAACGCCACTTCGCCAACTGGCCTCTACACTTTGCAGTGGCCACTTTGCCAAAAATAAGTTAAGAATACGCCTCCAACTTTCAGGGTTAATCTTTCAAACGTCAGATGGGTCCCCTATATCTGCCTTTCACTACTCTTAGTAAAAAAATTGCATCTAGAAATAGATGAAACCGATATGGTACCGAAAACCAGTATAGTATGCCATGCTAACCTTAGCACCCAGGAAGTTTCCGCTAGCAACATTGTCGGAGATTTCGTGCCAGCGACCATTAACACCATGTCGACGAAGATCTAACATTGGGGGACCAGGAGATAGCTTTGCTTCTATAGTAAGGCGTATTCTGCCAGCTGCCTCCATCGCAGCATCTAATGAATCAGAATCCGTAATACGGTAACGACCAC